TCCTTTCCACTGTTCTCCTGTTCTCTCCCTCTCTCTCTCCTGTTCCTCCTTCTTCATTCCTATACGATAGGTTTCAATAACTGCTGAAAATCACCACCCATCGCTATATTTTTTCGAAATCTCCCAAGCCGAAAGCTTACTCGTAGGCTATTCTACTTAATGTAACTGCAAAAGGTAGCCGGCAAACCACTACTGGCTAAAAGGTTAAAATTATTTGTATATGCAAAGAATAAATATGGACGATATAGACGACAGCTCATTTCTTTTGCGGCTTCATCTCGCATCTGATTGGTCCTGAAACACTAAAGACAATAACATATCAGAAATTATCTATGGCGTTCACGATTTCACTGGGAAACTAAGCAGGAGCCTATCATCGTTTTAATTAGGTTATATTTAGAGCATCGGACCATTCCTGCCTTATAAAGACATTAGGAGGGAAGCTCTAAACCTAGCCTGATCAAAACTCTCTCATAACTGGAGAGCCAGTATGTAGTGAAAATAATAAAAAAGAAAAGCACATTAACAAACAGAACTTTTCACAATTCCTGTCCGAAAAATATCTTTCCCAACTGGGCTTCGCACTCCCTCGGTCAAATGCGGCGAAGGGGGACTTGGATACGAAATTATGCCCGCGATTTTGGGCTCTTTCATAAGCAAGACGTTAGCATGACACCGTCGGCAACGAAAGTTTCATCACAGCAGAGAATCGATTGAAGTGTTACCAAACTCAAACTTAAAAACCCAAGCATGTCTCTCGATGTGGCTAGTGAAGATTATTGGAGTGCAACCACTAGATGTACAATCAGAGAAAGATGCCAGTTCATGTTTAACAACGAGCTCTTGAGCGATGTGAAATTTCTGGAAGGGCAGGATGGCAAGAAACGACTGTTTTAACAGAGCAGTTTCCTGAATTTGTATTTTCTGTCAACTAAACATGAATCACATTTCCATGTTTTCTTATTTGAAATTCTCTGTTATTCAAGCGAGTGTAATGTGTGAAATGAAAATATAATTTGGTTTGTATTACTGGTAAGCATTTCCTAAGTGCGTATATTAGTCTAACACCAATTGACCTTGTCCAGACCTAAACTAGAACAGGTATGCCATTGTCCGTTCCGAAAAGCTTGGTTACCAATTATGGCATCGACCGTTAAACGAAAAGAAATTCAGCGTGGGCTCTCTGCATCCAGGTTACTGTGTCCTCTGATGCTGCCTCTGCTCAGCTTCTTCGTGCTTTCTCATTAAGCGTCCTTTCCACTGTTCTCCTGTTCTCTCCCTCTCCCTCTCTCTCCTGTTCTTGCTCCTTCATTCTTATACGATAGTTTTCAATAACTGCTGAAAATCACAGGCCATCGCTGGAATTTTTTCGAAATCTACCAACCAGAAAGCCTACTCGTAGGTTGTTCTGCATAAGGTAACCGGCAAACCACAACAGCCTGAAAGGTTTGGATTATTTGTATATGCAAAGTATAAATATGGACGATATCGACGACAGCTCGTTTCTTTTGCGGCTTTATCTCGCATCTGATTGGTCGTGAAACAATAAAGACAACACATCAGAAATTATATTTCATGTTCACGATTTAACGGGGAAACTAAGCAGGAGCCTATGACCCCTTTAATTAGGTTAAATTTAGAGCATCGGAGCTTTCGTGCCTTTTAAACACATTAGGACGGAAACTCTAAACCTAGCTTGATCAACAATCTCTCATACCTGGAGAGCCGGAATGTAGTGAGACTAAGCAAAAAGAAAAGCAAATTAACAAACAGAGCTTTTCACAAATCCTATCCGAAAAATATCTTTCTCAACTGGGCTTCGCATTCCCTCGGTCAAATGGGGCGAAGGGGGACTTGGATACAAAATTAAGCCCGCGATTCGGGCTCTTTGATAAGCGTGACGTTAGCGTGACACCTTCGCCAACGAGTTTCATCTCAGCAGAGAATCGATTGAAGTGTTATCAAACTCAAACTTAAAAGCCTAAGCATGTCTCTCGATGTGGCCAGTCAAGATTATTGGAGTGCAACCACTAGATGTACAATCAGAGAAAGA